TGCAACCATTATGTTTTATACGAACCTCGCAAACTTTTAAACACGTTCTCTTGTGATACCTGCGAAAGTATTCAGTATAATTTCCGGTAAGATTTCGCGGACAATCTGATCGATTTCTCTTACATTGTGTGCTGAGACTGAAACTTTTCACCTCGGGCAAAGCTTCGTTGCACGGCCCAAACAAACATAGCGAGCTACAGAGCTTGTTGTATATGTACGTGTTAAAACACACGAAAGGACTCCAAAGGACACTTCACTCTGATTGGGTAGAAAAACACAAAGATTTTCTGGCACCAATCAGATGCCAGAACGAGTGCGACCGTTTGGAACTAGTCTTGTGAGACAATGTCCCCAGGGGCTCTTCTGCCCTTAACTTGAAATCGACCCACAGCCCCTGGGTCTCCGAGGATGAGTATCATTTGGCTGATACACACGATCCACGGGACTCCATCGATCTAGTCTTGGTTTCACTCTGACGGAACAGCAGTAAAAATTTATATTACCTTCAAAGGAGTCGTTGATGGTTCAATGCTTATGACATAACAGCCATTCCTCAATAAATTCGGTGACAAATGTCCTTAATAATGGGATAATGAAAAAAGATTGGTCACTGATTTAGTGAAGAATGATCCAAATGATGGTTCCATGACACATGGTGCCTACCACTGTCATACACCTGTTAGGTAAGGTGAGTTAATTTCCCTCCTTTAGCTCACACATGCAGACAGACCAACAGTTTCTCAAAATTTGACCCACATAATTTCCCAACCTTGACATGCAAACCAAAGGCATTCGGCGGTGCATAGCTACAACTATGAAAACCACGGTACAAGCCCCTGGAGGCTCTGGAAGGGGAAAGAAGGGCATCCCCGCTTAAATTTTTCAAGTGAAGGCCTCGAAGAAGATGCCATATCCTGCTGTGGAGATCACCAACAATTGTAGACCTTATTTAGGTGAGGTCTGCATCCCCATACTATGATGCCACAAAGGTAAAACAAAACCCCAAGACACCCAAATAAATTGCAAAGGATTGATCTAAATTGGTAAAACAGGGAGGGAAAACATCTCATCCTCTTTTGCGTAGGAAAACTACCAAAAGAATCCTGCAGAATAATTTGCTACATGGAAGGAAGCAAATGGTTGCTGAACATGGGATGTTTCTCAAACAAAATGCATGTACGATGCTGGAATCTCTTTTAATCTATAGATTTCAGAACTTACCATTACCATCACAACTGTCAGAATTGTTCGAAAAAGAAAGCCATGATTTCAAAGATGACCACCAAGTACTTCCTTCATTACCAGCAGTAGAACCTGTCAATTAGGCACACCAGCATTCTTTTAATGCGTGGCCTAATTTCATTATGTTCTAGGACCGGTTTACAGGACATTCTCTAATAACTAATTTCTTAGTTTTGTTTCAAGCCCACAACCTTTCCCAGATAGAATCAACCTGTTTACCATAATCACATAATTATCAGACATTAAAAGTTAACTAAAATATAATATTGAAGGTTTATGCCCTACTCAAGAACTGTCCTTCTCCCTGGTAGCCTGCACAAAAGTGTAGTTTTCTGCACTTTCCCGTCATACAAAGTGCTATACAATTTGGAAGTAATTGGATGGCAAGATTATGTGGAAAAGCAAAATTGGACGAGGCTGTGGCCCAATTCCAATTTGGATGTCAGATAATAAAGATGCACATAATCTGATTAAAATGGCTTCTTTGCGTTTAGACAGTCTTACCCAGGAAGTGATGATGCGATACTGATAAATTCAATTCCGAAGAATGCAACATATGCTATTAAGTTTGAGGTAACACTTTTTAAAAAATATGTGGAGTTTTCGTTAATGAAATCAAATAAACCTGTTTGATTCTCTCAGCGTTAGAGACTGGCTGCTTACTTCGGTACCAGTATCAAAACAATTATAACAGTTTAGCCTGGCGCTTGTCTCTTTTTTTTCCTGTAACACGCAAAAAATTTACGCCAGTTCTATAGGCTTAACTCCTGGGCCGGGTTACTCAAACTTGTTTAAGATAACCTAGGGTATGTGTGAAATTTGAATGAGATAAATCATATTATCCCAAAAAGGACTTTGAGAAGAGAAAAAAAGAGACTTAAATTAAAATTTAACTCTTGGTTGGCGCTAACCGGTCTTCGAATAACGTTAACTGGGCACTTGGTTGGGACGACCTCTGTGGGTATCCTTCAGGATTTAACACGCTATTTAAAGCGTAACCACCAGAAACTATATATCAATGGGTATGTTATAAATTGTACAGTCTTGCAAGAAATTGTTCTGTTTTAGCTTGAGGTGGGACAATTCGAAACATATGATGTCACTAACGTATCAAATCTAACTGCGCAATGAATCTTCTTTTCAATTCCAATTCCCAGGGAGTTTGTCTTCAGACTATGTGGAGACTTTCGATATTCTTATCAGTTGCTTTGCAATTTTTCTGTAAAGCTTGCTTATTAAAATTTTTCTGATACAGGTTGTGTTGGAGCTAATTGTAAGAGATCAATATTGAAAAACTAAAATCCCTTAAAAAGTTTCTTAGGGTACTATTTTAGGAGTCTTTGGACCAAATTTCAAGGCAATCGGTGAAGTTTCAAACCTTATTTATGAATTCAAAGAAGGCACATCTGTGTAAAGACAAAGTAATCTTTTTGCCTCTTTCTTTTTTTCCAACATTTTATGCTTATGCTTGACGACATTTCAAGATATGACAACACAACTGGAAATGCTGACTGCAAGAAACACGTTCATTCCCAGTGACATCTTATAACTGGCTGCACACACTTTGGCGGGCCAAGTCATTCAGTTCAAGAATTCGTTTTAGTAAAAAACTCGCGGGTGTTTCAATATTATTACGATGCTTTTTCTTAGAAACCGTAGTTAAAAGATTTAATACTAAGTTTGACATGATAAAAAGAATAAAAATTGGCTCTTGAAATTCTACTGTATCTTTGACTCATGAGAATTTACGTAGGTATGCTTATACAATATTCTAGGCCAACACATTCCCCCACGGAGGAAACGCGAATTCCCTCACATGAGCCTCAGTGTTAGCAAGCTTATTTCAGCGAACTTGGACCTATGAGTGGGTAAATTCTAGCCCCACGGAAATCTCTCTAAAGAAGTAATGTCCTTCACCTACCTTGGTTGGACTGTAAGGAGTGCTTGCTATCATCTGTCAAATTTCTTTCCAATTTTTGTTGTTCCTTAATCACCATCCCATTTTCTGAAGCAGCTTCACCATTGTTAATTCCAGTTGCGCACTGATAAATTGGCATCTTATTTTCACCTTCAAAAATACGTTTTAGTAAATATCTCGCGAGGGTTTTAACATTTCTCGAAACTTTTTTCTTAGAAACCGCAGTAACAATAACAATACTTATTTTGACATGAAAGAAAGAACAAACAAAAATTGACTCTTGAAGTTCTACTGTATCCTAGACTTATGGGAATTTACGTAGGTATGCTTACACCATATTTTAGGCCATCATATTCCCCCATAGAGAAAACGTGAATTCCCTCACATGAGCCTCTATGTTGTCAAGCTTGGACCTAAGAGTGGATGAATTATAGCCCCACTGAAATCTCTCTACAGAAGTACGCCTACCTTGGTTGCACTGTAAAGATTGCTGAGTATCAAGTGTCAAATGTCTTCCCAATTCTTGTTGTTCCTTAATCACCCTCCCATTTTTTGAAGAAATTCCACCACTGTTAATTTCAGTCGCACACTGATAAATTGGCATCTTTGATTCAACTATTTTGGTATGTTCAATGATCAACACAATCCAGAATAGTCATAAGACTGAGCAATTACATTCGTATTCATGTCATAAAATAATAGCTTTAAAATAATAAGGGAGTCATGAGTAAAGTGATTTGACATGATTGATTTTCTGTTTTCATCTGAGCTTTTACCAAGAACACAGGCTAAAACCTTTTTGGAAAGCCAAATAAGAATCTGGAATGAACTAACTAGTACAAAGTTAGCCAATCAGCCAACTTTTAACTAGTTGAGTAAAAAACTGTCCAATCATCAATCCGTAATGTGGCAACTAATCAAAAACAAACTTATTCTGTACACAGTTATACTAAATGAGTTTGAAAAGTACTGAATGAGTTTGAATTTATACTTAAGAAGTTTGCAGACAGCTAATCAGTTATAAGCGACCTTTAGCAGTCAGCAACGCGGCGGAAGATGTCGTGTGAAAAATGAATTTATTTGTTTAGGGCCTATCCGCACTAACAGACAAAACCAGTACTGTCCCGACAAAATCAAAGGAAAATATTTTGCAATGACTAATTTCTGTCTCCTCTGTTGCACCCGCACTAAAAATGCTTAATTCAGTTAACAGCCAAAAATAACACCGATGCTTAGTTTCACTGTAAATTCATTTAATTTAGCTTTTCCTATCCCTTCACTTTGAGTGGGAACTTCTAGATCTTGTGCCACATCTACTGCTTTATTGTTGGACTGATAAAGTAGCGACTGGAAAATCACTCCGCTGAATTTTTGCCTCGGTTACATCCAGCGCCTGACCTCAATATTTGTCCATGGATTCAAAACTCTAAGTACCAGGATTCATCTTAAAAATGTTACCACTGGTCACACATTTGGTGGCAACAGCTGAAAAATCAATTTCGGCTAAATTTCAAAGTTAGGTGGGTCTCAATGGAAAATAAATCACTGCATACTTAGTTTGGCTGAATATATCGATTGATTTCCGAGAAAATCGATAATAACCGAATTTCGCCAAAATTCCGCTTTTAAAGCTCAAAATTTCAGACGAATCTTGGAGCGTCGCGCCACCAATTGAAAACACTTGGACCAATGAGAACTGAAAAGTACCAAATCTTGAAAAATCAATATATAGGTTGACAGCAATTTGAGCAATCATTGATTGTTTATTTACACAATATAACTGAATTTATCCGACCATCTTCTGACTAGATCAAAAATAGGACAAAAATAACGTACTCTTAACTATGTGCTAATCAAAATAACCGGCTGAAAATCTGGCTTTTGGAAGGCGAACTATGATTCTATTCGATCTCCGAAAGATATTTTGGGGATATGATTCAGTGCGATTAAACCAAATTTTTAAGTTGGATAAAATGCGCTGCCGTCAGTTTATAGAAAATGTACAGATCCACACGCAAACACAATTGTTTCGCATTTTACATCGAAACTAGAGCTTTTTCAACAGAATATCTACAACAAGAACAACAACAACAACAACTTCATTCACCCTTATTGTTGAGAAGGTTAAATTAACATCAAACAGGAATTAAAATTAAGAGGGTGTTGGCTTTCTAAAATAACTAGAAGGTTAACAAGACTAGGAAGCCAATTACAGAGAATAGATTACAACATTAGGGTCGGAACACACACACACACACATATACATACATATACACACACACAGAGTTAAACTAAAAATAATTATGAATAAACGAAATTTATAAGTCATGGAAAAAAAAATTATATATATGTATATATTAGAAATGAAATCCTGAACAATTATTATAAAGGAAACAAGCGTAGAGCAACAAATAAATCACTGGAATAGCTAGGAAGAATCTGATTACTCTGGTAAAAGCAAAAAACCAGGGTGACATCAATATTGACACAGTAATCTCATTTCTATTTTTTTTTTTTTAATTTACTGAAAGGGATTGACTTTATTTCTTGCCCAAGAGAGTTCCATACCTTTGGTCCTTGAAAGCGAATATTAAAAATTTCAAAGTTTATCCTTGCTCGAGGCAGGTAATAAGATTGATTTGCTGCACCTCGTGTATTGTAGTTATGGATACTAAGTACTGAGTTAAATAAGCTATCAAATTAGGAAGGAAATAATTTGTTATGAAATTTATGCATAAAAAGCGCAATATGAAATGTAACAAGATCAGAAAGCTTCATAATTGCCAACAACCTAAACAGCGGAGTTGAACGTTCATCAAATGAAGAAAAAGTCATGATTTGCACCGCTTTTTTCTGTAAAATGTATAAAGGCTGAAGAGTAGTTGAATATGTATTACCCCAGATAATTATACCATAAATCAGAAATGGGTGGATTAAAGAGTAGTAGAGACTAGTAAGAATATCAATATTCACATAATGGCGAAGCTTAGACAAGATCCATACACTTCTTTTAATTTTCTTTACAATACACGCAATATCAGGTTTCCAGGATAAATTTGTATCAATTAAAATTCCTAAATATTTGATACAGGAATCCTGTTGCAAATGTTTCCCATTTAAAGTTAAACTGAAGTTGAATGTTACTTTCCATTGGGGAGGATGAAAAGTTACAAAACTAGTCTTTTCTATATTGAGAGATCGAAAGTTTATTTGCGCAAAGCCAGGAATTAAAATTAGAGAGTTCATTATTAATACTTGCCTATGAAGAAGTGAGATTTTTATGTTTGCAAAATAAGTTAGCACTACTAATAAATTACTTACCCTCCATGTTGATGTATCACAGTTGAGGACTGCGTTCTTGAAAATGTTGCATCGATCGCTCTCACGCTAGCGATACAACTTGGAAGGATAGTCAACACCTCCCGATAGTGTTTGTTTAAAGGAACTACACTTTGCCTTCCAAAAGCCAGATTTTCAGTCGATTATTTTGTTTAGCACATAGTTGAATAACCGGTTACTTTTGACCAATTTTAAGATAGTTAGAAGAAGGTTTATTATTGCATCGATTATTGATTATTGCAGCCCGGTCTGGGATTGTATGAGTGGCTATTTGAGTGACAAATAACAAAAAATTACATAATCGCGCAGCCAGAGTAATAACTAAATCACCTTTTGATTTCTAGTGATGCTTAAGTGGAAGAAGCTGTATCTTCGTCGTAAAAAACAGAAAGCTTTCATTATGAAGAAAACATTGAATGAAACTGCCCCAGAATATCTTTAATGTCTTTTCACTCAACGCCATGTTAATTATTATATATTAAGAAATCTTGAGGGAAAACTCTCGCTGCCCAAACCAAATACCAATTACTTGAAACGAAGCTTTTGTTACAGCGGGGCTTGTTTGTGGAAGAACTTGCTCCAAGATTTGAAAGGCGTTGTTTCTATTGGGCAGTTTAAACGGGGTATTAAGAAGGTATCTGAGATATCGGATTCCCACACGGCAATCATGTAAAACAGTTGTAAAAGTTTTAGTTTTTACCTTTAGCTTAACTGAGGATTCTCCGTGTATCAATAAAGTTCTACATTACATTACATTACAAGGTCGGATAAATTCAATTAGATTGTGTATACATGCAAACAATCAAGAACCTAAATTTGAATTTTGTTTTTCAAGATTCGGTGCTTTTTATCGGTCCAAGTGTTTTCAATTGGTGGCGCGACCCTCTGTTCGTCTGAAATTTTGAGCTTCTAAA